TGCGTTTACTGCATTTATTTTATTTGTTTAATTTTATTATGCATTTTGTTTTATTTAAATTCATTTATTAATTTATTTTATTACGCGGTTAAATTTATTTGTGTTTTTTTGTTTATTTATTTATTTTAATATACATTTTAATTTATTCATCTATTTGATTATGCGTTTAAATGTGTGCGTTTATTTATTTATTTGTGTTTGGTTTTATTTTATTCACGTGTTCATTATTTTATGCTTTTTATTTATTTTATTTAGGGATGGATGGCCAATACAAACATTTTTAGTGGGAGAAAGTATTTCATAACAGACGAGGATTAAGCTTCCGCAGCCACCAGCTTGCCCTGTGCAGCGTAGGCAAATCACAATGCTCAAAGACAGCTCCCACATACAGCAAGGTTAAATTCTTTTCAACAGAGCAAAAAAAAAAGAGAGCAAGAAACTTATGAGTAACTTAAAGAAAGATTCAAAAATCAGAACCAAGACCGCCAACAGGCTCAAGCTGCGGAAAGAAAATCATGAAAACGCGTGAAGATGCTGCGATCTACTACTCCAGGATCCTGGGCTGGCCGCAAGAGCTACCCAGTCACTCCTGCTCTCCCTGGACAACCCCGCTGTGATGCACTCGTGTTAGGAAACCTCTGAGCTCCCGGGTGTCATCCCTGTCCTGAACGGATATGGCAGGCCCAAAGCAAGAGGAAGGAAGGAGGGACAGACTGAACACATTTCGGCGCAGAAGACCAGGTATCCTGCGTAACGTTATCTCTTCCCTTCTGCACAGCTGACCATAACGGCATGGCCCGGCCCCTCCAGATTGCCGACGGCTGCTTCGCTGCTCTGTAACTAAACGCCACTGAATAAATATTTCAGAGCAGCTTCTTTACCCGAAATCGAAGTCGCGCTTTCATTGTCTCCCAAGAGCACAAAATTCACCCCCACGTTGCAAGTCCCAACAGCACAAAATCAGACATGAGCCACCGGTGCTTCGGAGGTGCGGCCGGGACACGCAGAAATGCCGTTACAAACAGGCCGAGAAAAAAAATCAGCCTGGCCTCCGAAATCCTAGAGCCGGAGCCCAGCCCTGCACCTGAGCACACGTTGTATAAATAAATAATCAGCGTCCTGATAAGAAGCACAAAAGAAACCAACTGTTAATAGATGATCAGGAAATACCTTCCGTAAAATGTCACCCTGCGCTGGATTTCTTCTCTAGCCACCCATTCCTACGGGCCTGAAAAGTACTTAAAAACTAGTGTGCCTTGGAAAGATTTAAGAGGAATGCATATGCTAAGAGGTATAACACAAACATTAAGACTCAGAACTCTTCGTAGAGGTGATCTCTTTTATTAAACCAACTAGATATTTGCAAAAAAAATAGATCTTTATTTGCAATTTTTTGCAAATATTTCATTGATCTAACAAAAGATATCACCTCTACCAAGACTTCGGATTCCTTTTGCCTGTAGCCCAGCATGGCTACAACATGCATGCCTGAAACATGAAGACTGACACGTCGCATTTCAGATTCAACACCAATACACAGCCAGATAACATACTGTTTTTTACATGTCATGCTCCCATTTAAAATAGCCCAATCTTCTTGAACAACAACGAAGACTGCAAGCAAAGCAGGCAGCAGGGCTTCTCAGGATTTGCTTGGAAACTCAAATCCCACGTCTTCAAGCAGCCACTTGCCTTGGCGCGCTCTTGCACGGCACGGTACAAACGCTGTCCTTGACCCACCTGACGGAGGTGGCGAGGGTTATAGGTCCCATTTGCTGCTATTCCTAAAATGAAGGGAGCAGGCAGCAATTTAAAAGCCGAGCATAGCACCATGCAGAAATAAGGAGTAGCAAGTCAGAGAGCGGGGAAATCGGAGGTATGCAGAGTTTACCAAAACTCCATCAGGACCACAGAGCTATCAATTCCCGTGCACGCGCCTGCTGGATCGCTAGGGATAATCTTTGCAAAAATCAAAGCACTGACCAGTTAACTTTAACTGCACCCACTATGCACTAAAAACCAATTTAAAAATGTCACTCAGCACATTACCCCCAGCATTTCCTGTACTAGAAACCTCTGGGGATGCCCTCCGACGCCACTGCCCTAGCTTGACCCTGCTCGGTGCCCGCATGCACAGGCCAGCCCACGTATCACATGTCACGGATGCATTTTACACCCAGTGTCCAAAGCCCCTCTAGGCAGACAAGGGTCTTTGGGTAGACATGATATCTTTTATTAGACCAGCTAAATACTTGGAAAAACTGTTCTTTGCAAGCTTTCGGGTACAAACACGCTTCTTCAGGTCACAGGAGTGCTGGTGCAAATAGGTAAAGAAAAATCAGCCCAGCTTCTGCAATCCTAGGCTGGATTCAGCTGCACCTCTGAAGAAGGGCGTTTGTACCCAACCGCTTGCAAAGAACAATTTTTCCAACTATTTAAATAGTCTAATAAAAGATACCGGATTTACCCAAAAAACCTTGTCTGCCCATGTCCTTAGACCAACACGGCTACAACCAACACCCCCAAAACCCCTCTAGTCTCTTCAACTTGACCAGCGCGACAGCTCACCTGGCTCTGACGGGGTTTGAAGGGGTTAGATCACCCTCACCAGTTTGATCTAGCACCCCCCCCTTTAAATTGTATTTTAGACAAGTTCAAGTGCACCAGATCCATTCCAGCAGAGCATATTTGCCCCTTACTGTATTCTGAAAAGGCAACTTCATATGCAGCATGCTTATCTTAGAAAGGTAATCTTTCTTGGTTACAGCTATAGCAAGTACTCCCTTGCCCCATGAAATAGGGACCAGATTTCCCCCCCACCCCTTGCCTTCACTTCCAGTTACTGTTAAGTGCTTTACTGGAACCGTTTCAGTGATGCACTCAACTGCCGAGTGCATCCCTGCAACACCCATCCTAGCCTTTAAACAAGCACCGAACCTCGCCAACCTCATCCCCACAAGCAAACTTCCTATGGTCCAAAACACACCGAGTGCATCCAGACCAGGCCAGGACCAGAAATGTAAAACCTGCCAACACATCTCCACCACCCCCACGATAACTACACCCCACAACAGACCCATCACCCTTCCTGGATCTTACACCTGCACCTCCAGAAATGTTATACATCTCATCCAGTGCACTGAATGCCCCAACGGAAAATATGTAAGAAAACCCAAAAAACTGCGTACCAGAATGAATGCACACTGGAAGTCTATCAAAGAAAAATCCCCAATGACCTGTGGGTGCAGGCTTCTCACGAGACAACCCTCTCTTCCCAGTCTCTGTTCTAATCCTCCAAGGAGATTTACAAAACACTTTTCAGAGACAAGCCTACGAACTTCACTTCACAAGTCTGGATACAAAAAATCATGGACTAAAGATAGACATTGGATTTATGGCATATTATAACCTGCCAGTCATCTGATAACCCCAGATAACCTCTCTAGATTTGATAAGCTACACTCCATCGCCAGTTCAATATCCCCACTCTTCTTCCCCTCCCCACCTACCCTCTCCCATGGCTGCTAATCCTCTGCCACACATTTGCATTTTCACATTGTGCATTTTGCATAGTGGCTTCTGTTCCACCCAGGAGAGCGCACACACACCAGCAGACTCTCCCTATGCCTAAAGAAGGGTGTTTGTGCCCAAAAGCTTGCAAAGAACAATTTTTCCAGCTATTTAGTTGGTCTAATAAAAGATAGCACATTTTAACCAAGAACCTTGTCTGTCACTGGATCAAAGCCAAGATCTGCCATTTCAGAAGGAAACTTTTGCCTTTGAAACAGGGTGGATCGCATGCACAGCTCGCCAGGAACCTACAGGCTGCATTCGAATTGCCAAAATCAGTTTTACGTGGATGCATACTTTGGAAACTGCAATCACAACCCCAGTGTTTACTCACCCTTTCGTCTGCCTCCATATGCAAGAAATATCTTGGTTTGATAATGCCAGCAATGAAAATCTGCAGCTGTACATCCATCTACAACCTGCTATTACTCAACTGTGCTCCAGGATCCTGTGGGCTACATGTGCCCTTTGGGCTACATCCTGTGCACTCCTGCATGACGCGACAGCATGCACCCAACGTGTGCGTAATAAGAGGGCTGCATATTTGCTTCTGGGGTAACTTGCACAAACCACGCTAGCCTCAGTTTTGTGGTTTCCATATTCGTCAAACTCAGTGAAAATACAGTGGTTGGGTACACATCCGAATGCCATGACACTGGCTCTCAAGTGATGAGTGGATAGACCATTTTATTTGAAACCACAGTTTCCACTCCAAAATTGTTCCATCCCCACCCTCAGACCACGTCAAGCTGGCTGCCTGTGTCGACACTTAGTTCAGCCAAAATTGTCAGAGCGCTGCAAACAGGCTGTGGTTCCCGAGCACCCCTACTCCGTGCCGCTTCCAGGATAGCAAGATGTTCACCCTGCATAACCCAGCAATGACAGCAGAGCACGGCACGTTGCCTCGTTTACACCCTTATCATCTGATCTTCCCTAAGCACTAGCAGAGTCCGCTCCAAACCGTTTGCATCCAGACATGGTATTTTGTTAACACGTGGCTTCTAAACGAAGGATGGAGCAATCAACTCTGCTTGTCAGATGCTGCTTAGTGTCTACACACGCCAGGCTTGTCAAGTCCTGGGAACCAGGTCAGCCAGCTCTCACGCACGGGACGGCACCGTGTAAAAGCAAACCCACAATTCTCCGCTTCTGGCTGCAGCAGAAACAGAGCAGAGATTTTCTTTTGCCCCAGATGCAATCGATACCACTACGGATATGCAGCATAGCAGGCAAGGAGAAGCCGAAACAGCCAGGTCAAGAAAAGAGCTAGTGTGTGAACGCCTTGCCACACCCTCCAGAAAGTGTTGGTTACACTTCATATTACACCGAAGCACAAGAGGAAACCCTGTATTTCTCTGCCCAGAAAGAAGCAAGCAACGTACGGAGAGTCAAAAAATGAAGTGACAATTGCCTTGCCAAAAAGTACTCACGGCCCAGCGGCAGCTCATGCTCAACCACGCTACTCCAGGAGACTCCCAAAGCGCCAGGAAGCAACACGGAAGTCAGTGGCCGGACTCGGCATTGGCGGGCGGGCGTTTAAACTGAATCTGCATGCCAGCTCCCTTATCTGGGACACCGTGGAGTTTGCATATTCCACTGCTGCATGCAAGACGGCCCTCTGGGACGTACAAATCCCCGAGGCTTACACAATCGGAGCAGACCGTGTGACCTACGCATGCAAATAAGTACAAGGGCACGTCTCCTCGAGTTTCACGTGAGAGCAACAAAGCACCCTCGCTTGCACAAGTGAAGAAAATTCATGCCAGAAAGCTGCTCGTTGCATCTGAATTAAAAAAAAAATATACATTCATGTCCCTATCCCTTGGCTGGACACGGCTGAGCTATTTTTTTTTCTTGGCCACGGCTCCATGCCTTAACAAGGAAGCACGCTGCAAACAGGTAACGATGCCTGTGGGAACTTTAATTTTCCATCCTGGGTGTTTGGAAATCATCACTAATTCTGTGCAAGGGTGCCAGGCAGCGCCCGGGGGTTTGCAAACCTGACTAGTAAAGCAGGGCTCCAAGCAGCCGGCTAAAGGGTTCAGCTGGGTTTTGCCAGTCAGGTCTAGTGCCACTTCTTTCCCCACAATGATTTACCCAAGCAATGACTTTATGATATCATAATAAGTGACCTTTCAAAGAAACCCAGCCCAACACGAACTTTGTGCTCACTTGTGCACTGCCACCCATTTTGCCTAGGACCAGAGAAAACACAACGGGTAGTGAAAGGTTGCAGATGGAAATTAAACTCCCCCTCAGTTTAACACATCTGAAGCAATGTGGTGAACACGATTGTTCTCTCAACCCACGCAGCGTAGTCAACGGGATGCTCAAATCACGAGAATAAAGCTGCTGTAATAATGCAACCCATCCGACGAGCCTATAGTATTGGTAATGATCAACGCGGCGTGCTCAATACCTGATCTCAATCTATCCATTCAGACCAAATCTAATACTTCAGAGTGAGTCTGGTACTTCAAACCTGAAGCCTAGCATGTCTCAAAGCTGTTTCAACTCCTGGAAGAGCCACGTCCAGCTGCTCAGCACAGGGCAGCCCAAAACTTTTAGAAAGGCACCCCAAACCCCTGCTCATTACAACCGGGAGAGGTTGATCTCCCAAACCTCCCTCTTCATGATGCCATCATGCCACCCAGAAACAAGAGACTGTCAGCGATAACCCCATCCCTCCTCCATGCATGGGTACCTCCCAAATGCCTTTTCAAAGACAGGAAGACTTCTTTTAGATATACTTTATTCAATCACTCTTTAAACATGCTTTATTCAGACACCCCTAAATGACACCGTTGCAAGACGAGAGCCCAAACTACAGGTCCCGGCAATAGGAAAAGCTCAAAGCGATCACGGCCCCCTTCCTGCTACGAGGGATCTTCCCCGTGACATGCAAATGACTGAACGAGGAAGCCTGCCTGGCAGGCAGGTAAAATGGTGCTGCCTGAATAATCAGGTCCCACGAGTAAGAACTTATCAGCTGAGAAGGAGCAGAGTTTAAACCCAAGAGCCGAAGTCAAATGCAACTCAGCTGATTAACCAGCGAGACAGGACGGGGGGAAGAGTCCGCCTCCTCAACTGTACCTAGATCTGCAGATTGAGATCGAACTCAGGGACAGGAACTGCTGCGGAGGAGGAGGAGCAATCCTGGTTCGCAATGCGGGGCTTGCAAGAGCGACTATAAATCAATGTCTTTAAAAAAACACAACACACCAGCAACATCCAACAGCTTGCTGCAGGAAGCTGGGATTCGGGCTAGCTGGGCTGTTTTCCCACATCGACTTCTCGCTGGCTGTCCTTGGGCACGTCGCTTCAACTCACCTGAGGCTAAAACAAGAGTCAGACCCACCGCCTCGAAGGCAACCGCAAGTTTCAACGTTTGCAGGAAGCCTCAAGGGCACAAAAGCAAACTAAAATGGAAAAAATGGCAAAGTGATCCTAACCCCCCCCCCCCCCCCCCCCGAAAAAAAAACAAATAAATAAAAGACCTAAACTGTAGCAATGGGTTTTTTTAAACCCAGTTTATCTTCTTGCAGGCAGACCCTCTCAATAGGCTTTTTGTTCCCCTTGAATGCTGCGTCCTTGAACAAAAGAGCAGGTTCACAAAAAAACCCAACTGACCTAAACACATTCTCTCCAGCAGCGCTATCAACAAGGCCGAAAACTGAAAGTTTGTTCAGCAAACAAGCCAATTTGATGCACGCCAGCAGGCAGGGCCGGTTACAATTGTACGCTTCCTGCCAACCTAGAGTAATGTTCCCAAAAGAACATTAAAACAAAGTATAGTTCGAGCTATTGTTAAATCCTTCCGAATGGGACTTCACCCACAACAAAAACCCACCGACTGTAATCTGAACCACGAGCTGAACCCATTTTTAAAGTGCCCAGGATGGAAAAAATTAGGTTTTTTCCTAACACGTAACTAGAAATTTCACCTGGGGGGGCGGGAATTAACTTTTCATCCTCTTTGCTTCTTGTATGTTTAACAAAGGCTTTCAGCAAATCCAAACTCTCAAAACCTCAAGGGTGGCTGCAAGCTCCTCTGCACCTGTGGAAATGAAGGCACTCGGTCTGTGTGTCCACGTATTAATTTGCAGACTTGACTTCAGGCACCCAAGGAAAGCATCCGACCGCAACAGCTGGGCCCATTAAAAGAAAGCCGAAATAATGCACAGTATCAACAGGTGGAGAATGAACTGGATTTAAAGGCAATCTGTTTGCAGGCCTACAGAAATGAAGCCCTCTGTTTCCATGCCTCCTCCTTGTGCAAATATTCAGAAGGGAGGGCAGCAAATGGGAAGTAGTTTCTTTTTCGGAGAAATATTCCCCGGGCACAATGCATAAACCAACTTAAAAAGGGATTTAATCTTTGCTACGGTGACATTTTCTACAACTCGCACTCCGGTCCTGGTGTTTTGTGTTGTTAAAGGCCTCTGTGGCACTCACAGAAAGCTGTGGTCCTGGCTCTAGCCGAGACTCCTAGCCTCTCCATCCCGCAGGCTCGCTCAGAAAACCATATTCTGCTGCGGAAGAAAATTGCCCATCTAGACCCTGGGAGCAGGCTCAGCTCAAGCCACGCGCAGTACAACCGGACACACAAACGAGGTTAGCAACCCTACAGGCAGTCAGAGTAACCCTATTAGTCCAACAGACAGATTAGCCCATCCTCTCCCATCTCCTTTGCCCCTCCATCATTTGGACACCGAGAGCATCATCATTTCTCACCTCTTGCATGTCAAGTCAGACTCCCCTCCAAGGGCACCTTGTATTTGGATGCAATGAGGTCCCTGAACTCCCCCTGCCTCTCTTCCCCGCCCCACTTTTTTAACGCACAACACAGAGTCCTGGGTTATCAGACTAAAAGATTTAATCGTGCTAGTTTTCTTGCAAGACAGAGACCGAAGCTGGATCCAGGCAGAACCTTACCTCGTGAATCCCCAAGTTCTCTACTCCGCACCTTCGAATTGCATCTTTCTCCCTTTTTACACCGAGTTACCCAAGTAATACATTCTGAGTTACGTACAGCATCCAAGCTAAATGGTCTTGGTACTCGTCTAGGGATGGCGTTACTCCTTAATAAGTGTGTCCACACAATTACTCAACTTGGTGTGTAGTCGATCCATTTATCTGTGCAGCTTGACTGGATAGCTGGAGAAAGCAACCGTATTAAAAACTAGACTAGATTTCTTAACCAAAATGGTAACCAACTGATGAGCCAGCCAACCCAAGGGAAGGGTTTATGCATGGTTAGGACTTGAATTCGGGGTAATCTTCAATTTAACTTTGCAGGGAAGACGCGGCGCTCCACCGCTAAAGCGTGCTGCCTCTCCGGCTGGGTGCCGATGCCTGTGCGCCAGGGATGCGACGGTCCTATTTTTTCTGCTGGCACCTCTAACAGTACAAGAGACTCCAGCCTAGTCTCAGGCTGCAGGCAAAGAGCCGGAGCTGTTCTTGCATTAGCAATCTTTATTTAAGGTAGGTCTCCCACGGTAAAATCCCAATGGCCGTATGTATACATACACACCTACTCGACAGCAAATCTGCCCTCGGTACCAAGAGTGCCGATATTTCACGGAGCAGCAGGATTACTCTGTGACCACTACAGACAAGTTATAACACTATAAAAGCAGGGGAAATGCCCAGCTATGAATCTGCATGGGAAGAAGCCCCAATACAAAGGAGAAAAAAAACGTAAGAGCCGCAGATAACAATCTCAAAGTTGATTACCTTAATCATCCCTTGACTTCAGCCCCTTGAGAGTGCAATAGCTCACTGATCTTATCATCCTGCATCTACCAGGCAAAGTTGGATCCAGTTTATACAGCACCAGCCAGAGTCAAGATCTGTATATTCTGATAAACTCTGTATAAAAATCAAGATCGATCAATGCAAGCCTTTCTTTAGCACAATGCAGGTGCAGACCTTCTCCCACATCAGAATTTTTACCTTTGGGGGAAGAAAAAAACCCCTCTGATCTCTTTACTGTAGACTTATGATTAAATGCACATGAGAATACAAATAAACTATCCGAAACACTTCGAGAAGCGCCTGCCCAGTCCTGCCCACCAGACCTCACGTTTTGAATCGGATTTGCTTCCTGGTGGGATATCAAGAGTAATCAAAAACAATTCGAAAGGTCCACCACAACCCAAAGTCCAATTTGAACACTCCCATGCTTTCTCCCTGCACGCTCCAAAACGTCGCCCACAACTTGACCCGGACTAATTAAGCAAGCTGCATTCAAACCCATGCGACGAAGAGGCACCGAAATGCTGATCCTGACATAATTAGGGAGCAACTCCAAATCCCAATTCTGGGCCAACAACTGTGGACAGATGGATGCGATGAGGACCCGCTGCACAGAAATCCTGCCTCGTATCCAGCAAATAATTTCTACTTCAGGGGACAGAGGCAGAAGGCCGCAAGCACCAGGGCTTGACTATATTAGTAAAACTGCTTTGCTCAGGGATCATTTTATAACGTCGCACCACGCCAGCCATGACAGCCCAGCTCAGACTTGCACAAAGACAAAGCAAC